AATGTACTCTCACGCAATGTGCTTATTAGGTATGTCAACTGTAAAAATCAAACCATCGATGCCTGTTTTCATACCGCAGCAACAAAAGTACAACAAAAGTCAGAGGCAGCCCATTTTTAAAGTGATTTTTTTCAATTACAAAAATATTCAAGCAAACTCCTGCAAAGGAAGTGAAAATGTTTACCATTGTGTTTATGCAATTTAGACAGTGTCACTTCCACTGTCACATATTTTGCTCTCTGTCTGTTTGTAAAAAGCATGGTTTCTCTCCAATAGACAGCCAATATCTGCAGGATGGTTCACCGGATCTTTAAGGGATTCTATTTGGAAATGTCTCAGTCAACCGACCAAATTTGGATCTTGAAAAAATCCCAAATTCACACACATGAAAAAGATATTTAATGCTGTTTAGAGAAAGATGCACAAGTCTCTGATAGGACCTTATAACTCACCTTGCGTTCCTTCATCAGCACTGTGTTCCCTTCCTGTGAATCTCTATGGCTGTGTCCGAAATCACACACTCATTCCCTCTCCCTACTCACTATATAGTGAGTAATGTGTAGTGGACTATATAGTGCATCATTGTAGTCATTTACTCACATATTTTTAAATCTAAACTCATGTATTTGTGCTCACAGACTCAGGTCTGGTGTCCAACTAACCTTTGACTCTTTATTAAACACATCATAGATTTCAGTAAAAAAGATGAACTTTAGTGTATTTCTTAGTTCATGCTGGTCGCTCTTTTTGTTCTTCTGAGAGATGTCGAGTCAAATGCCACTTTCTACTTGTAAAAAATCTTTGAACTGCAATACCTGATGGTTTATATTGCTAGGACCATCACTTGTACACTACTTTTCACAATGCATTGTGGGATACAATAAGTGGACTATATAGGGTATGATCATACTCACTCAGAATTAGGAGACCGCTACAAAAAGGTTTGTTCACTATAATTGTGCTGGACGAGTTAAGAGAGACACATATCCCTTCTGAATTCCGAACCCAAGCCATGTTGATGACCTTTGAACTTTGAGCAGGGACTTTGAATGGGGAGGTATGTCACGATGTTAAGACAAACCTTGCCTTGTAAATCTTCTATATTGTATTGATGAAATGTGGCATGAGCAGCCTTTGGATAATTTTTTGTAAGTGTTGTAAATTTCATTACAAAGACACAAGTGTCAGAGCTTCTGTATTTACACGAGCAGCTGTGAGGCTTTCCTTCCATTGTTCCCAAGTTAAATAACAACCCTGCCCAGCCCTCACCAACAGCTCCTCTCATTGATCTGTGCACAGACAAACGTCAACTTTAACTCACTGGATTAATTTCAAACCTCTTTTGAAACTATTCCTGATTTTTGACACACTGATCATACCTTTACTAGTCAACAGAGGCGTTTTAACCATTGATGTGCCATTTTTGCTGGTTGTAAATTCCCTACAGTATTTAAAAGATATCTTGACTATCGCTCAGCCACAGATCAACAAAGTGCACCATCTGGTGAACAATGAGTGATTTTGGACACAGTCTGTCATATCCTTGATCCTTCTCAGACAAGGGTCTGAGTTATTGCAAATCATTGGAAATTATTTGATGATATCCTTGTATCTATCACTAAATGCAGTTGCTCAAAAATCTGGTGAGGCAATATGCAGCAATCATTTTGATATGTGTCTCATTTTAAAGAATACACAACACAAATCAAATGCTGATGATATCATTTTAAGATCAGATCTCCCGGTATCATTTGTGAGACTCGTGACAGATCCATAAACTTGGACATCAGTAGATCCTGCTGGATACATATCCCCTTTTTTCCAGTGTAATCGGCATGTATTGACGACATGTACCTTTGTTTGTTGGTTTGTTTGAAATGACAACAAAAATCAGCTCGATTTTACCAATCAGTATTCTTTGAAAACTCTTCCTTTTGGTCTATAGCATCTAACCCTAACCCTCTGGACAAAAAGGCAAACACATAATGTTTGGAGAAACAGAACAGCCAATCGCATGTCTTGAAATACTTTCAATGTAGTAATGAATGTAGTTTGAAATAATGACTTCATTGATGGTCCCTTAATCTGTTTCTTCCAAAGATTCATTCAATTAGGAGCAACAAAAGGCTCACACAGGCTTGAACTCTACATTGGTTAACTGAAATCTAAATGTTTAAGAGAGCCACATTACCTATTTTTTTATGATTTTGATTATAATGGGGTCTTATTTAAAACACATGGATGTAGTAATATTCAGCAGCTGTGCACCTCTGCCTCCGGGGCATTCTTTGTTCAGCTAGGAGGAAGGGGGGTGGGGGGGTGGGGGGGGGCGGGACAGAAAAGGGAAAAGGAAAAGAAAAACTTCCACATGCTAACATTTACACAGTGATTTCTTTTAATTGCACTCTACTTTTTAATTTGCCCTGGACTAATGCTTTTAAAGCAGGACTGGAGGTATTTTATTGGGGTCTGTGGTTCTAGTGTGATTCACCATGCTGTCATCAAAGGGGATGGGGGGCCCCTGAGTGGCCCTCTCTATTCCCACCTGAGAGGGCCTGCAAATGGAGGGGCCGCGTTGTCATTATTTACAGCCTGCAGCTCCTAACCTTGGATTCGGAGCTCATCACGGCGGAGGGAAAATCAGATAGGACTTGACGTGTACCCGAGCCGGTGACCTTGATAAGTGTGAGGTGCCTGCAGCAAGAGGTTAGGGAAAAAGAGCTCACTTTTGTCAGCGTTCGCTTTGGATCTGCGCCTGCGTGTTGTACATAGATGTGTGTTTGTGTTCTTTCAAAGCAGGTAGGGAGGGGTGAGGAGGAGTCAAGGCTGTATGACAGAACGATGACTCAAGATGACACTTGGAAGGCCCACTTATGAGCCAGCATACAGCAGGCAGATGCAGCATTACTCTTATCTTTTGGCAATAAAAGATCAGGTGACTGTTGACGATCTCTTCAGGGAAAGTCACTTCACACATGTATTCCTTGAAAATAGTTTACCATTCATCAAGATAACATATCAAACATTTTCTTTCAAAGGTGGGACTTTATCACTCTTTTGTGCTTAACATCGCTCTAATTTGAGTGCTTTTGGTTTCTGGCTGACAGAAAGAATATAACTTGAATATGTCGCTTTGAACTCGGGATATTTAATCGGTTAAAAAAAAACATATAAAAACCTAAGTAATTAATAGGGTAGTTTGGATTTTTTAAAAGGAGGTTGTATGAGGTACGTATCATCAGTGAATTTATTACCTATTGCAGCTGGCTGTCAGGGTCCAAAATTCACTTTTTGACTTACCAGCGATGGTGATAGGTGGATTTAAAAAAATCACCAAAATATTAAATTGTGTTTTTGTTTTACATACATTTGTATCAATACATTTAATTGTGTTAATAAGTCACGGATCATTTTACCAGACAATATTTAGAATGAATGTATTTGCTCACTTTTACTTTTTAAAAAGGTAGTGCCAAGGCCACCCCTGCTGCCGTTTGGAACCGCCCCTGCATTATAACAAACTCAAACACTCATTGAAGCGAAGCGTGTCTTGGTCATGGTTTAGATTGGACCATGCTAGTGAAATGATATTGGCCTCAGAGAGCTATGGTTAGATGCACTGAATATAAACTTCAAACCTCCAAGCACCTCACAAAGACAACTCTGCACTTGCATTGGTCATATATTTTAAATGAGAAATTATCCAGATGGACACTTGCTGAGGGGCACTGTCGTACCCAAATAAAACGACTTGCCAAACAACCACAGAAGTAGTCCTCTCTGTCTATCTGTCTGTTTCCATCTGCGAAAAGTAATTCCTCTGTGTAGTCTAGTTCATTAAAGAATCCTCATTTTGCTCCAAACCCTACTCGCAGGGCTACATAAGCTTAGCTTCTGTATCACTTCTGCGGCCAGCTTTTCCAAACAGGGGCCTTTATGAGTGCTTGCTGCTGGTGATTAACTGTCTAATAATCAAAAATGTTGCTTTCATAGATCGTTCAAATAATCATTATTTTGCAGCCTGATGTTTTATGTTATAATGTTAAGCCCAGCAATAAATCCCCAACCTGATCAGCTGTGTTTCTATGTTTGCAACCTTGGTCTAATATCACACCTGGCCTTTTCTAAAAAAAAAAAAACAACAACTCTGTAATTTTCTTTTCCTTATTTGATTATTTATTCTTCCATCTGAACTAGTTACCTGGAGACCAATGGGGAGAGGTGGTTGCAGGTTGCAAAAAAAAAAAAACAGCAAGGGAGAGCATCTCTGGATAGGTGATGAAAATGCATTTTTCTTCCCCCTGCCGAGATACTATTTGGTCGTGTGAAATGATTAATTTCACACATATACAGGTCATCCCCAAAAGCAGCAACATCTCATTCACAAGGGGCCCCCGTCAGCAACAAAACAGGAGGCTGCGATAAAATGAGCAAACAGCAGCACGTACTGTACGTCAATAAATCTTTGGAGGTTAAACCTGAGCTCTGTAGAATTTGAGCATCCCCCACCACCACCACCACCCCTCCTCATTCGCTCTCTCATCAAAGTAAAAGTCACTGAGTACATCAGATGTGTCGAGACCCCCCCCCCCCCAAAAAAAAATAAATAAAAAATGAAAAAATTTAAAAAAAATAAGATGGCAGACTAGCAGTTTGGGCCGCATCCTGTGGTAGCAGGTACACACTCACACACACTGTGTTTGCATAAGCAGGATTGAGCCTTGAATTATGGGGTTTGTGTAAATAAGAAGATGAGACTGTTTTTAGCACACAGGGAGAGGAGGGAGCGCTCGGATGAGAACAGTGCCTCTATGTGGAGCTGAATTGGTCTTGGGTTGTTTACGACAGCTCGCAGCCCTCATATATCACAAGCAGTATGTTTCCTGTGAAGCTACAGTTTGTATGCCATCTGCCTTAGCTGAACTTGACCATTCAAGCAGACTTATATTTTGTAAACTGAGCTCACTGTAACTGCTGTTTTCTGTTTTTCTCTTCCATAGTGGATGATCCAGAAACCCCACAAGGTTGCTACCTTCTTCGGGTGCATCGGAACGGACCACTTCGGGGAGATCCTGAAGAAGAAGGCCGAGGAAGCCCACGTCGACGCGCATTACTACGAACAGAACGAGGAGCCAACCGGTACCTGTGCGGCCTGCATCACCGGAGACAATAGGTTAGCCACCTTTTTTTTTAGTCACCCCTGACCAAAGAATGAGCCTCCAGCTCAGATTTGGAAAAACTCCTTTTGGTTCATTCTTACATCCGCAGGCAGGCAGTCGACTCCTCAGGGCTGGAAGTCATAACAGAGAATCATAGCTGGGCTCACACATCAAAAGGAAAAAGAACAGCTTGAGTGTGTTTTTTTCCAGGCCCCCGCTCAGTCTCTGCCGCCCCAGTGGGTTGTCATCCATCTATAGGCTGACAGTAGCAATGTGTTAGAGATGGCTGGGATATCCCGGCTCTCACCTGTCAGCCTTCTCGCCTGTAAAAAGGGGGCTTTAGCGACTCACGCTAGCAGCAGCATCATCATCATCATCATCAGCACGTCTGAGACAGCAGAGGTCAAAGCCTGCACACAGAAATATCACGAACAGAGAGGGCTCTAGTTCATGATAGACCAGGTGTGGATCAATAACCTCCTTCTCTAAACACTCCCCCTCCTCTGCAGACCTTCATCTGCAGCTACTGGACATGTCAGTCAGTCAACGGGCTGGACCTCAGCCGCCCCGGGAGCCGGCCCCGCTGAATGGTCTTAGTGGGCTTGTTTGATGTGGGCTCTGACACCTGAAAAGGTCAGGTGCCGTGCTCTGGGAGACGAGCTCTGTAATATTTCTTACAGGTGTTTAACAGACAGCTCTGGAGCCCAGAGGAAAGGTCGCTGGCTGGGCTAGATTGGACGGGTGATGGCTTTGAAGGAGTGGGAGTCAGTGTGTCACATCCCCCCCAGGCTTTGATTAGTGAGAGTCTTTAAAGAGGGGGGAAAAAAGTCTACCTCAGCTACTCAGCCTGACAATTTGAGTTCCAGTCAGTAAGAGACAGTGCCGTATGTATGACTGATCGAAAGTAAGGATTTAGAAAATCAGTAGTCATAGCTTCATTCAGGCAGTCCTTAGATTATGTGAATTGCAGCCAAAAATGACTTCAACTAAATCAGCTTTTTTTAAAATGATGCTGCATCTTTGGCCATTTTTATGTTATTTTGCCTTAAATTACATTTACAATGTTTAAAGCTTTTGGCTTGATTAAAAAAATAAAAATAAAAATACTGATAATCTTGATTTTCAAAAAGTTCTGTTCAGTTTGACTAACTATAAAACATTGTGAAGTCTTAGTTTTTTTGTTTCTTTTCCTAAATTAAGTCTTCAAGGCAAATGTTCTGCTTCCTACCCGAGCAACAAGCTTGTGTGTTGAAAAATGAAGCCAATGGTGAAGTAAACAATCAAACTACAGTTTCACGTTAGAGTTCACTTGCGGCTGGCTCAATAAGCCAAGAAATCCCCAGTAGACCCATTATTAAAATGCCCATTTTTACAGCAGATATAAACAGGTTCACAGCTTCATACACACAAAAAAAAAACGTTTTGGTCTGAATATCTCGTTCTTTTATTAGTAAGAACTGCAAGAAGGGTCCAATTTTTGAAACCAATTTTGATTAAATTCAAGATCAGAGTTTTGCATAATTAGTGTGGTGGCTGATTGAAGTATTTCCAATATGGAGACCATCATTGGGCTTCACAATACCTCTTTAGGAACCGATGGTAATGACACTGACTTTACGTTCACAGGTGATTCCTACCCTACCATTAAGCATTGCAAACAAGTTGCATAAAGCACATGATTATTTTGACGTGTTTTCTGTGATGTGTATGATGTAATCTCTGGCATTAGCATTGAACACCCTCTGATTCCCCCCCCTCGCATTTTAAAATGTTACAGATAAGAAATCAAGCAGACTCATTTGGACTTTTAATCGTTTGATTAAGAAACTTTGCATCAAAAGCAGACATCTGTTAGATGTACAAGTTACCCTTAAGCTCGGTTAAAGGTTGCATAGACTTAGTGTAAAAACGTGGACATACTCTGTGATGTCACCTATTGGTTTCTGAAGAGGTGTTACGAAACCCAATGATGGCGGTTGCAATATTAGAAATGCTGACTTTAGAACAATCTAGAAACAGGCAAATAGCAGTTGAGCAGGCATTTAGCTTCCTTGGCAAACGGCTACAAAGCATCAACCTGTCAGTCAACTCATCCACTCCCATATTTATAAGAAATAAAAAATCACCCATAGTCCAGTTTGTACAAATGAAGAAATAAGCTATGGAGACTACCAGCATGTTTTTGAACCAGGCTGTAAACATGTTTATTTCTAGACAATAATTATTTGGGCCATTTTGCCTTTTTTTCGATTAAACAGCTGAAGAGAGATGGAAATTGTTGGGAGGAGAGAGAGTAGGTGATCACGTGCAGCAAAGGGCAGAGGTTGGATTCAAACCCGCTGCCGTTGCGATGAGGATTATAGCCTCTGCGCATCATAACCGCTAAGCTAGCCAGTGCCCCCCAAATTGTTCGTTTTAATATGGATCCTAAGGCGGTTTCCTGGGCTTTTGAACCTGCCTGCTGTTTTTTGGACTTCCCCTTTCGCCTCGTTTTTAAAACAGTGTAGGTTTCCGCTTTGTTCCACCTGTTCTTGGGTTTTTTAATTCAATTTTGAATAGCATGTTGTGTCTCCACTTTGTCACTTTAAAATGATTGACTATTTTCTGTTTCTCTACTAGATACTACCCAATCAAATCAAGTTGAATAAGCGGTGTTGCCATTATAATGTAGGGGAGCGTTCATACTTATGCAAGCCACAGAATTTCTGTTTCGGAAAAGGTTGCGAGCCCTTTTCCACAAGAAAGATTTGTTATGAGATGCTTCGTGCTGCTTATCATGCCAACCGTGGTGAGCAGTTGTTTCTCGCCATGTAGCAACGTCCTCCTGTCATATGATCGCCTACAGTTTCCCCTAAGTAGCGATGATGGCTGCACTCATTTTGATGGCCGCTCATAAAGCGACAGCACACGAGGACTGGCTAATGAGCTGTGTTAAGATAATGCCACCTGCTTCACTTTCCAGCTCCCACTACTCACTACTCAGCTCAAGTGTTCATTTAGTCATACATGTCTGTTGGTTTTTTTTTTTTTCACCTTTTGTTAACAAAGGACCCTCTTTTCCCTAGTGATATGATAACAGGAAAAATTTGGAGGTGGCTCATTTTTTTTTTTTTTTTGGCCTTGAACGTCCCTCTGTGGATAAACTCCTAAATAAATAGAGATTTCACATCAGTCCAGACATTCTTTAAAACTATCATCCTTTTATATCATGATACAACAAAGGAAAGTCTAGGCCCAAGTGTTTTTAGGGATGTTTTTGAGACAAAATTAAGATGGATGATAAGCGCGGCTGAAGATTTATGGGGTCTGTCTCGGCAGGTCCCTCGTCGCTAACCTGGCAGCGGCAAACTGCTACAAAAAGGAAAAACACCTGGACTTGGACAGCAACTGGGATCTGGTGAAGAAAGCCAAGGTCTATTATATTGCGGTAAGTGAGACCCTCTGCATTCAAAATGACTGTTCCCCAACTCTATTGCCAGAAGAGGACAAAATGTTAAGAGGCTTTATTCAAGGGAAATGCTTCACTGCGCCTTCTGCATTGTCAATATATCTATTCATCCTTTGTGGAGGGAAATGAGCTACGTTACCTATTGAGACAATACGGCTCCATTCTCTGCGTTTCCCCGCCGTCTTTGTGCGCGGCGCCGCTGCACAGTGTGAAATTGTTCTACATGTAATGCATTCATTCATTCCTTTTAACATGAAGACAAGCCAACAGGTGCTGCGGAAGTGTGGAAATTGATTATTCAAGTTCATTCTGCTTTACCCTCCCTCTCGTACACAATCTTCCCATAACACACACACACACACACACACACACACACACACACACACACAGATGGGGGAGGACAGATGTGGGCTTAGACATTCACACACACATGCAACCACACACACACACAAAAGCTAATGTCTTCACTTACAGCTCCTGGAGTAGGATGGCCTGCCATGCTCATGTTTCACTGTTTGGGATTACATCTAATTCTGGCAGATCAACATTTTGTCTGATCTCCAGTCAAGATGATATCCCTGAAATTGCACCAAATTCTTCGTCTATAAGCGGTTCATTATCAGGCATAAATCATCCCTACAGCCGTAGCCATCAACACTCTCTTCAACATATTCTCTCCCGAGTGAAATGCACAATGCTTCCCCTGTTGCTCACAAGTCCCCTCAACATAAACGCAGCATAGTCCAATAATGACAGAGGTCTCATAATTAGCCGCCCAGTCGCAGCAACAAACATTGGAAGAAAATTAAAAAAAAAAAAAAAAAAAAGGGAGAGAAAAAGCCGTCAGTGGTCGTGCCAGAAAGCAGATCAGTCGGTCCATCCTCCAGAGTTTGTGTGGTCCCATTTTTAGCCTCTGCTTCGCATTAGCAAACACGGCACATCCTCTGCAAATTGGCAGTTGGGTTTTGCCCACATCCGACAGTCTTGTGCGCAGGGGAAAAGCTTCCGTGGGATTTGAGAGGGGGATAGAAGGGCCACAAATGGGTGTTTGTCAGTGCTTGGAATCTCAAACGTCTTTTTTTTTTTTTCTTGTCTTTTAAAAAAAAAAAAAAAATGTACCGTCCCTCCTGGGCCTCTTTGTCAAAACTTGGCGGGGGGGGGGGGAGGGATCATTCGCTTTATTAGAGTCCCATTCGCACTTGGAAAGTACTTAGCCAGATACACTGCCACAGCTATTCCCACTTAATACTGTGTGGCGTGTCTAGACCAGTGTTCACTAAGGCCTCCTCTCTCCATTAACCTTGTCGAGAGCACTCAGATGTATTTACCCAATTTACAGCCAGATTGTACATTCTCTCTCTCTCTAACTCAGTGTACGTACCTCTGCAGTGTATTAATGTGCTTTGTTGATTTTCATTAAAGGCCTGCAGGGTGGTATACACTCTTGTACTCCTAATCTGTGAATGTAATTACGGGAAAAGCGCGCATGTGTGTACGTTAGCATGTTTCCCCCCGCTTGCACGTGCGTCCGCGTTTGTCGAAAAAGCATGCGCGTTAAAGAGGTGATTGATGATTCCTGGCAGAGGCTCTCAAGGTGCCTGCTACTATGTGGTGTGATTGGATGAAAACAGAATTATTAGAGGGCTTCTTGCAGCCAGTCTGGCTCATCCAGCAGCAAGCAGCAGCAGCAGCAGAAGCAGCAGCGGCAGCAGCAGGACTGGTGGCAGACGCAGAGCAGGGAGGCAGCGCTGCCATTTCTCACAAAGAGAGAGAATGTTGAACTCCTGCCAAATGTTTGGTGGCAGGCTGTTGCTAGGAAATCTGGGTCCTTAGGCAAATCATTGCACAAAGACCAATAACAAAGGCGTGAGGGGGAAGAAGGAACGGCTAAACGCATTTCAGGCAGAGGAGATCTTCCTCCTTTTTTTTTTTTTTTCCCGGGCTCTTGAATGCCATCGCTGCAGCAGTGATGTTTACAGTTATTTCTCTCCCCGACGATTGTAAACATCAGAAATGGAGGGTGATGCATTGTGTGAAGAGGAGATGAGTGACTCTAATTGGAGGGGTTGATGTGTGCGTGCTGGCCCAGTTAGCCTCATCTCCCCCCCCTCCTCCTTTTTCTTCACTCCCTCTTTCCTTCCATCCCCATCCCCCTTGGCCCTCCATGGACCCCCCCCTCCTCCTCCTCCTCTTCCTCCTCTTTTTTTTTGCTTGTCTCCTTAGCCTCTCTCTACCCTTCTCTCTCTTTCCTCAGTCTCTCAGAAACACATACACTTGCTGCTAAACACACACAGTATGCACGCACACACTCTGCAGCATACCACTGGCTTGTTTTTCCTACCACTGAGCGCTTTGCCCTGTAATTTGATCTCCACTGTTTGATGCATCCTCCATGATGCCACTTTGAATTAACCTATGGCTCTACAGCTCTCCTTAGCCCTGGCAAATAAAATGGCCTCTCCCCACTGATGCCATTTACATTTCAGAAATGCATGAACCACTTGGTCCATGTCGCAGTTTAAACAAAAAAATGAAAAAGAGGGGGAGACGAACGAGACAATTGACTGTGAAAAGGCCTGTTAATGACTGGGCGCAGATGGTCAGAAATAACCCAAGGATAGACGGAGGAGACACTCGCCTCTGCCAACTGGCCTGGTACACAAAACTCACCCAATGAGACACAAGCTGCAGTGCTGTTAGGTCACAAACCTGATCACAGCTGCGGACGCTGTTCGCTTGCGCCCTAAGCTAATGGTGCAATCCCCGTTTGCCTGCGAGAGGTTAGCCACGCCCAAGGACAAAAAAAAAAAAAAAAACACAACTAGCTCACCTTTTATCATTTTTTTTTTTTTTTTTTCAAACAGCGCAGCAAGTTGAAGCAGAAAGCCTCACACTGGCACACTGCATATAGCATTAATTGGCAGTTGTATTCTTGCCCTCACTGCAGGGGAAAGCTGAGTTCAGCTTCAGTCACTGTAGCATAATATGCAAGAAGGGGAGGGCAAAAAAAAAAAAAAAAGCGCAATACTGGCACCACAAGCAGCAAGTCAGACTGCTTACACTCCAGAGTGGCACACACACACACACACACACATTGTTCCTCCGCCCAACCAGCCCCTGCAATTTGCAGCCAAAAAAAGTGAAGAGGGAGGTTTTCCACACACACACACAACGAAGTGACATCTCATCAGCCAGCCGAAGGGCTGATTAGCACAGAGGTGACTGCGGCTGTGTCTCTGTCCAACTCGGAGGGCCACACTGTCCTCATGCTGACCTTGAGCCTCCTCTCTCCTTCTTTTCTATCCTCCTATCTTCTTCTACTCTCTCTCTCTCTCTCACTTCTGCTCTCTATCTCCAAAATTTCTCCCCTTCTCCCTCCACCCTCCCTCCCTCCCTCCCTCCCTCCCTCTCTCATTTTCTGTCTCATCTCTTTTTCCTTTTTCACTCTGTACTGCACCACTCTGCACTGCCCCTGTCCTTCCACATAGCCGGGGAGGGATCACGAGGCAAAATGCAGGCAGTGGAGAGAAAGAGGGAGGAGAAGAGAAGTGGAGAGGGGGGGTGAAAAAAACTGGCAGGCTCCCCCTTTGTCTGCAGGCGATCAGTTACAGTCTTGGTTGCCGATGAAATTTAATCCCCACCGCATTTACATGCCAAGTTTGACTTCTGGCAAGCCTTATTAAATAGATTTGTAAATCATTTCATCTTGATTAGAATCTGTTCTCAAGGGATCAACATTTTTTCGCCTTGCTTGTGTTTTGTTATGTGCACAATCTGTGCCCACTGGTGTTAAAAAATTTGAAAGTCAAACCCCCTTTGCTGCTGCTATTTTTCTGAGAGAGTAGTTTGAGGGGGGACAAAGAGAGATGGGTGCCAAGTCCCGTCCGTCAGCGGCCAAGCCACTGTGTCAGCATGTCTCCCGATCTCTGGAGGTCGTGTCAGTGGGCGAGCGACCGCTATGATGTGTCTTCTCTTTATTAGGCTGACACCACAGCGTCTTTTGCATGGAACAATGTCATTTCAAATTGTTCCTAATCAGATGGCATTTTGTAATTGCCAGTGAGCGTCTTATGAATATGAATTAATAATTGTTCAATTACAAGAAGACTGCATCATATTTATTGGCTTATTTTTTTTTTTCCCCCGCTGGCCTGGGCCAATTATAGGATTTAAATCTAGAGGCAATCAAGTGATAAGGGTGAGGCATTTAGTGTTTGCTGTCACTACATAATTCTCCCGAATGTTAAACATGCATCTGGGAGGACTCTATTTGTCAGAAGGCTGTGCGTGGAGGTGCACCTGCCTAATTGAGTGGTAATGAGCTGTCAGGAGTACGAGCTCTGTGATTGGCTCCCGGCGGGGCGTCCCGTGCCAGTGGGACGTATGGGCTGGCCCAGCCCTGCTGGAGGATCCGCCAGCTCCATAGCCCTCCGAGCCATGAGTGGGCGGAGTGTAGTAAATTAGGGTGGAGAGGCCAAACGACGCTGGCTGTGGAGACATCCTGTGGCTTTCACTCCTCTGTGGGATTTATTTAGGTTGTTTACAATTATCCCTGCTCCTGATTTAGTTTTACTTGTTCATTCAAGCGGGGGAAGAAGATTTGAGATGTTTTTGCTGAAGTAAAAAGTGCAACACAACACTGTAAACATACTCTGTGCATACCAAAAAAGTAATTACATTTCCACCTCGGGCTACATTACATGCAGGTGTTATGCGTAGAATGGAAACATCTTCTTGCAAATAAAGCTCCAATTGAAGCTATTTCTGTTTATAGATGTAAGTATTCAAAGTAGCACGATTTAACACCAGACGATAATGAAGATCATCTCAGTTTATAGTTTTCTATAAGGGTAAACTATTGAATGTCCATTATGTGTTAGTGAGGAAGGATTAAAAGAGCAACACATACAGTATGTGGACTCAATTGTTGGAGAGTGTTGATTCATTCTGCTCTCCCATGTGTCTCCAATATTATCATT